CTCTATGTTTCTCTCCACATTCTTCATCAAATGCTTCCAGTTTTTAAGAAAAGGTCCCAGCCAAGGAAACATGTTATATATCTGTAATGGTGCACAATACAAACCACCTCATTAATGGAGGATTTAACTAAATTTGTATTTGTGTTACATTTTGGTTGTTAATCATTTAAATGATAAAGATAGACATTTAAAATAGAGAAAAATAGAGACATTTTATTTTACAGGTTTGTAAATTCCACATCATTTTGTAATACTTTTCTAATTTCCCAGAAGAAACTATGCACATTGATACTAATTTTACTCTATTATTATTACTAATAATTAAATGTAATAATACAGAGGTTGGTACCTTTCCATATAAAATATTTTTTTTTATTTTCTGTCTACAGACAAATATAAATAATTAATTAGAATAATAAACCAGTTTCCAATAAACATATTTATTTGGATCTAAATGCACAGCTCATCCATGAAATTCCCATTTTCCTTGTAATTAGTACCAAATTACATAGTTCCTCCATAAAACGTCATTTTACCAAATATTTCATAAATCATGAACTACAACAGCAATATAATTGATCTCTTAAACTTAGCTTAACAAGTCCTTAATTTGTAAAACAATGTTACATTTTCTTGTAATGATTAAGTTGCTCTGAGGTACCAGGATGGGAGCTGATCCTGTCAGACGGATGGACTCGTGGTCTCTTTCCACCATAGCTTGGAACACTGGGTCTTTGTATTCGAACCTCTTTCCAAACATGATAGCTGATATAATATTTGAAGTTGCATAAGAAATTGCCTTGGTGTTGTTGAAGGCTTTACCTGGGAGAAAAGTTTTGGACAAGAGTTTGGTAGAATGAGGTATTTGAAGGACAGCTGTGTAAACCTGAGCAGTGTTTTAGTGGAGAAAATGTTACCTTCATATTGTTCAAATTCGTCAATCAGGTAGCGACATTCCTCAATGATTCTCCCTTCACTAATCCGTTTGCCCATTCCGAAATCTCTCAGCGTAGTTAGAGCAAATCGCCTCATTTCTTTCCACGAGTCACCATTGGAAAATAGTATGCCTGGATACAAAAGTGGCTTGTTTAGATGAGAACAAAAGCAAAAACAAACTCTCAAAACCTTTTCTTACCATGTCCTTTGTTAAAATCGTAGAATATGGGAGTGACCTCTCTGTCTCCAAACTCTTCAGCGTGGTTGACCAGAGCCTGTTTGACTGTCCTGTATCCTGCCAGCACTACCACCTTCTTAAGTCCAAAGTAGACTGTGAACACCGACCCATATTTCTTGGACAGCTACAAAGATGGAAGCAGGTAAAAGTGAGACTTGCAGTTGTAGATAAGACATGTAATTTTCTTACCTACCGAAAACATATATTTGCATTATTCAAGTAATAAAACATTTTCTCACATTAAAAAGAGAGTGGTCGAGTCTCGTGAGATCCACTTGAAGCAGGTTACCAAGCAGGGGGAGAGGTTTAGGTCCTGGAGGCTCCTTCTGGTCTTGGGAGATGAAGCTGGAGTATAGAAGATGCAGGACCAGCAGGCACACAAAGGCCACCAGCAGGGAGACTGTGGCGGAGGATTGGAAGAGATCTTCCAACATGATCCTACAGTGACCCGGTGTCAGTTCTGACTCCTTTGAGGAAGGCGAACCTTCTCACTGAAATGTTATTTTCAAGGGTAAATGACAGGATAGATTTTCAGGTTGTCACAGAGCTTGCTGTCGCCTCTTGTTTGAAATTTCTACAGAGACTTTGCCCTAGCCACTTCTCTGGGTGTAGCAGTATCACCCCACCTTCTTTTAGAAAGGCTGCCCCAATTACAAATAACACCAATCTCACCTCTTCAGGAGGTGTGAAAGAGCATGTCAGTCAGCCAATCACAGCTCTAATCAAACAGTCAGTCATGATTAAGCAATTCAAATGCAAGTTCTGGACTGTTCACTCAAACAGACATCACCTGGAATGTCCTTACAGCTAGTATAGGGTTACTAATCCTCTCTCCACCCCTCTGCGCTCTTTTGCAAGAAACAACAAGTCTCTAAGGTGAGGCAAAGTTGACAGTACAAGGACTTATTTGGACAGAGTTTAATTATACACTAGGCATAAAGACCTAAACATTACAGTGATCACGTTTAGAACAACAGTTTCTGTTATAACATCTGTGATTCCAGGTCCATGTATTTGTAGGTTAAAATATAAGTCTTCTGGTTATGACATCTATGAACAGCAGCACAAGTTTGATATCTGACCAGCTGGGTCCAAATTTGCACTTATCAATGACACAAATTAAGGTTATAAACAGGAATGAACAAGGCTCACCATATTACATACATTATAATATAACACAATATATTTTGGTGTAATTACCCTTCACAACACACAGCATCACTTCAACAGGTGAGGACAACAATGGACCGACATCAGAACAAAGTTAAAACAGAGAGCAGTCAGCTTGCAGCATAGAAAGGCTAACCTGTGCATGTTAAACGGCTTGGAACGACAAACATTCTCTTTTTCCACCAGAAAATAGTCTAGTATTTTTTTTCAAGTAAGTATTTTAATAGAAGGAAAAAAGTTACCCATGGACCAAAATATAAACAAATGGTAGACATATGTTGTTTATTATAATTGTAGATGTTGAGGTGGTGTCAGCTACATGGCGAAGCAGGTCCAAATTCATTTACAATAATAAATGAGAAGATTTATATAATTTGATACAATATGAGAAATTAAACCCTTGACAAATTGCAATGTATAACAGGTGTTCCCAAAGTTTTTAATGTCAAAGACCTCCACAATGGATGCACATTAGACCACTGGCCCCCCAGTTTGAGAGGATTTAATCTTAAGGAATCCCCTCTGAGTAGTTTTTTTTTATTTATTTTTAGGCTTGAAGATAATAAAGTCTTCATAATGAATCAATGATCAAACTAGGATCACTCTAAATTACAATCAATCAAAACAGCCAACCCTATCTCTTTTTAAAAAAAAATCTAAATTAAATTAATAAAATAAAAAATTTAATGAAATATTCTCTTTTCGCTGGGGACCCCTACAACCGGACCCCAGTTTGAAAACTACTAAACTATAAAACCAAGTACAAACAATCTAGAGTGGCTGAAAAGCAGAAATATATAGGTTAATGTATCATTCTAGT